TCCGCCAGAATACGCTCGCGGGAAGCCGTGAGCGGAGTGTACTCAGTAAACCGGCCCGAGGGGCCCCTTTGTTCCCGGACCTCCCGGGGTCTGTCTTCCTTCCTCTTCTCTCCGGTGCGACGGGGAGGAGGGTCTTGTCTCGAGCTGCTACCATGATTGCGGGCTCTGAAGTCTCGTGCCCTGTTGGCAGCTTCTCTCTCTTCGTAGTCCATGTATGCTCGGGCTTTGTCGAGGAGAGCATCAAAAGTTGCAGGTGGCTCAATGCCCACAGCTTTCCTGAATTCTGTGCCGGGGAGGAGGCCCCTCTCCAGCAAGTACCTCTTCATATGGTCCGCGCAGGGGACCTGGATTGCTTCCCGGTTGAAGCGGTTGATGAATTCCCTCAAGGTCTCATCATGTCTTTGGATGATGGCCTCGAGGGCTACCTCGGTCTTTGGGTGGCGACGAGACGCTGTGAAGGAACTGATGAACTGGTTCTTCAAGTTCCGCCACGAGGTGATGGAGCCCGGGGCAAGTCCCTTGTACCAGTCCATGGCCGCCTTCCTGAGAGTTGTTGGGAAGAGACGGCACTTGATGGGGCCCCCGACGTTGTGATAGTGGAGCATGGCCTCGAACCCGTCAATGTGGTCGACTGGGTCTGCCACTCCATCATACTCTTTTAGGTGTGGGGGCTTCTCCATGCCCGGGGGAATAGGTGCGTCCATGATGGCCTGCGACAGGGGACCGCGGGGGTCGTCCTCGTCGCTCCTTTCTGGAGAAAGAGAAGGGGTCCTGTAGTTGTGTCGGGCACGTTGCTCGTGCTGGGATTCCCTTGAACGTGATGTTCGGTGATTGAAGGTCACACGCCCGTCTCTGTTGTGCCTCCGGTCGTGCCTTGATGGGTCGCGAACGGGCTCTTCGGCAGGGATGACGGGCTGTCTTTCATACTGGGGCCGCCTCTGCCTTGGTGCGGGAGAGGGGCTCCTAGAGTTTTCCCTGTAATGTCTCCGCGGGGGAGTGGGGTGTCGAACTTCTTCGACCCGAGGAGGTGGAGATGGTGGCCTTTGATGTCTCCTCGGGGGGCGTCGATCATTTTCCAGTGCCCTAAGTCTTTCTCCTTGTGCGAACAGGAGATAGTTCGTCTGGTTGATGGCCGCGAACAGTGCCTGAGCCGTGGCATCTGCCCCGGCAGGGGCTTGGACTTCATAGAACCGGGCAGCCTGGCGATAGGCGAGAGCCTCCGGATCGTCTTCGAGTCCTGGAGGAGTTGTCGAGGAGGACGCAGTGTTCCCGTCCCTGCGGGTGGAAGGTCCAGGGGCGGTTGTCACGGGGACTGTATTGTGGCCGGCACCACTGGGATTGTCCAGGTGCCCATTCTTGTCCGCGGGACCGTTGTTGGCGTCGAGGACGCGAGTGTGTTGTTCTTCACGAGTTGGAGAGGCCATGACAGTGAATGGATTGAGCTTTGGTCTTTGAAACTGTTCGTCAGACGGGGAAGCTGTTTCCCACATACGGCGCCACTGATCTGACCTGATCAGAAGGTTTGGACCGTCACGGCTTACTCCGAGCTGAAGGCTTTTTGAACGAGGAGGGGGGGGTACCTGCAAGGCACTCCGATGCTAAAGTCAGTGGGAGTACTAGCAGATAATAGAGTTGAGGTTAGAATGATGAATACCTGACCCTCTGGAAGCAGAGGGTATTTATAGCCCCCAGCGCTGGGTCAAGGTTCCTTCATTGGGCCGGGCGGATTTGGCCCAATGGAGGAACTGCCAGGTCCTACGTGGGTAGTGGGGACCAGCACGTGGTCCCCTTCCTGGATGTGCTGCGTGAAGTGCGGGCGGACGGAGACGCGGTCTTTCCGGAGTATCGTTGGGGCAAGGGTGACTGAGTCTGCCCTAGCAAGGTAGCTCGAGTCCATGTCGAGCTGCGCAACACGGTGCCGAGCTCGACGCCAAGACCTCGAGCTGGATAGCGAGTGTCGAGCTGGAAGCCAGGGTATGGAGTTGGACGGCAGGTCTGTCGAGCATGACTTCGTCGCGTGGGACTAGACACCGAGATGTCGAGGTGGACATCAGGGTGTCGGGCATGAACGTGACCCCCTTTGCCCAGTGTGTCCTTAGTGAGTCCCTTTGGACTGGGCCTTAGTAATGCTTTTGGGCCTGTCGGGCCCAGTCCAGAACAGTTTTCATGCTAGCAAGTGTGATCCTAGCCTTTTTATTCTCCATACTGGCAGTCTAAGTATTATGGTGTTGGTGTATGTTGATGATATAATCATCACTGGTAATTCTTCTGCCTTCATTAGTGGTCTAATCACCCAGCTAAATTCTGATTTCTCACTTAAACAGCTTGGCAATTTGGATTATTTTCTTGGCATAGAAGTCACTCATCTGCATAATGGCTCCTTGCTTCTATCCCAAGCCAAATACTTGACAGATTTGCTAGCCAAAGTTAATATGATCAATGCCAATGGCATGCCCACGCCTATGGTCTCTACCAGTAAACTCTCTAGGTTTGGTTCTGAACCTGTCTCTGATTCCACCCAGTTCAGGTCTGTGGTGGGTGCCCTTCAGTATGCTACCCTCACTCGGCCAGAGATCTCATTTTCTGTCAATAAGGTGTGCCAATTTCTGTCAAATCCTTTGGAAGAGCATTGGAAAGCAGTTAAAAGGATACTGAGATACCTCAGTGGGACTCTGCACTATGGTTTACTGATTCAGCCTGCAGCACCTCACAAACCTCTGTCATTACTTGGTTTCTGTGATGCTGACTGGGCATCAGACCCTGATGACAGAAGGTCAACATCAGGAGCTTGCTTGTTTCTAGGTCCTAATCTCATCTCTTGGTGGTCCAAGAAACAGCAGCTGGTGGCAAGGTCCAGTGCTGAAGCTGAGTACAGGAGTATGGCACAGTTAGCTTCTGAAATAATATGGGTTCAGTCTTTACTGCAGGAACTTCACTGCAGATTTCTTACTCCTAAACTACTGTGTGATAACCTCAGCACTGTGACACTTGCACACAATCCTGTCTTGCACAACAGGACAAAACATATGGAACTGGATATATTTTTTGTAAGGGAGAAAGTGATCTCCAAGAGCCTAATTGTGGAGCATGTTCCTGCCCAAGATCAGTGGGCAGATTTGTTGACCAAACCTCTCTCAGCCATCAAGTTTTTACCTCTGCGTGATAAACTGCGAGTGTTCAATAAACTTAGTTTATTAAACACACCCTCAGTTTCTAAGGGGGACTAATAGAGAGTAGTTGTTATGCAACGTGTCATTGATCTGTTACAGCTATATGCCAGCTGTACAGTTAGTTAGATCTAAGGCTACTTTATATACCATGCCTTTGTACTCTTTCCAAAATAGTTCAATATATGAGATTTTCATCTTTCTTCTTTTCTCTCTCTTATGGTACTGTATCACACTCCAACACTCTTCTGGCGTTTTGTCTTTTACAGCAGATGTGGGACTTCTGTTGAGCACATGACAGGCCCATTTTGCGGCTTCCGGCCAAAACATTCTGGGCAGCCTCTTCTCTTCTAATATGCAGCGTACCATATTCATAATTGTGCGATTCTTGCGCTCTGTGACTCCGTTTTGTTGCGGTGTATAAGCTGTTGTCAATTGTCGCTTGATTCCATGAGCTTTACAGAAGTTTGAAAATTCATTTGAGTTGAATTCTCCTCCTCTATCTGTTCTTAAACAACACAGTGCCAAACTAGTCTCCTTCTTTGCCATAGTTTTAAATTCTTTGAAAGTAGTAAAAGCTTCACTTTTCTCATTTAAAAAATAAACCCAAAGTTTTCTACTGAAATCATCAATGAATGTCAGTATGTACCTTTTGTTTCCATGTGATTCAGGGGAAATTGGACCACATATATCCGAGTGAATAAGCTGCAGTTGTTGTTTGGCCCTCCAGATGCTTTTCTTAGGGATAGCTTCTCGATGTTGTTTTCCCACCATGCAGCTTGTACAAATTTTTGATGAAGCATTTAATTTTGGAATCCCTCGAACCAAGTTCTTGTTATGCAGCAGCGCAAGGTTCTTATAGCTCAAGTGACCAAACCTTTTATGTCATATTTCACCGAGATCATCAACGTTTGCATTGAAACATGTAGGCGCCGATATAAGAATGTTTGTTGTCACAAGAAACATTCTGTTGGTGGCCATCAAACTTTCCATTATGCATCCCCTACTCGGATGATATAGCTTGCAAACTCCATGCTTAATTACAATTGTGATGCCTCGATCTTGGAGCTGTCCAATACTCAGTAAGTTGTTGCATAGTTCAGGAATAAAAAATACGTCACTTACAATATGATTGCTTCCTCCGAACTCCAATTTGATGTTTCCCTTTCCCATTACTTCTAGCTTTGAGTTATTTCCAAGCTTGACTGAGTGGCCTGAAGCTTTCATCCAACTGCATGAACCATTCCTTGTTTCCGGACATATGATTTGAGCATCCGGAATCAAGAAACCATACTCCTTCTTTCTTGTTTTGATGAGAATCTACTTGTGCCATCAGCAACATCTCTTCCTCTTCATTAAACTCGGCATAATTCACTCTTTTCTCCCAGCTTGGGCATTCATACTGATAGTGTCCCAAATTATGACACCTGTAGCATTCCACCGCAGCCTTACTCGTGAACTGTCTGCCTCTACCTCTTCCTCGGCCTCTCATCATCATGCCTCTGCCTCTTTCATATCGCTCCTCGTGTGTTACCTTCAGTGCCTGCTCCTCCTCATTTGATCCCTTCATTCTTTGCTCGTGGATAAGAAGATTGCTTTGGAGTTCATCAACGGTTAGAGTTTCCACATTGTTCGACTCCTCAATGGAGCACACAACATAGTTGAACTTTGGCACAAGAGACCTCAGAATTTTTGCAGTAATGTCGTTTTCTTTCATAATCTCTCCGCAAGCTTTCATCCGTTTTGCTATGGAGAGTGCTCGTCCAAAGTATTTCAGTATTTCGAACTCAGTCCTCAAGGCTTGATAAAGATAATTCTTCACCTTTTTGTCCTTCAACTGCTGCTCTGCAACTGTTTTTGCCTCCTCATCAGTTGGCCCCCGGTTTTCTCCTCAGTTGGCTCCCGGTTTTGTGGACCAACAACCACTCCGACCAAGTTCCACATTTCTTGTCCTTCAACTGTTGCTCTGCAATTGTTTTTGCCTCCTCATCAGTTGGCCCCCGGTTTTCTCCTCAGTTGGCTCCCGGTTTTGTGGACCAACAACCACTCCATCCTTGACCAAGTTCCACATTTCTTTAGATAGGAGGAAATTCTCCATCAGCTTCGCCCAATGCTCATAGAAACCATCAAATTTGGGAATGGCTGGTTGTATAAATCTGCTGCTACTGCTACTTTCTGTCATTCTCACGGATTTTCCTTCTCGTGTTTAGTTTCCTAAACCTCTCTTTATCTGATCAGGCCTCTTTGACGAGGCTCTGATACCAATTGTTGAGCAAGGTAAGAATACAAGTAATTGAAACTGTAAACTTTGCTTGATATTAAAAAACAGTAAGACGGACTGCATAAATAGCCTTACAAAAAAAACTGAACTTCCTATTTTTCAGCACACTATGCTAAAGAATAGGTCTTAACCTAGATACTCCTTTTGAATAGGAGTTTTATTAACCGACTAAAAACAAATATTAATAATCCAACAAAATCTGGACAAAATTTGTAATTGCATAACGTAAGTAAAAAAACATATTTATTGTCAGTTACTAAAAGGTTATATACTTACAATGGTTAAAGATCAAAGCTTAAAAGTACTCGACAAAAATAACTCAATCAACTTATGTAGAAATTACTAACAAAAAATGCTGAAAAACAGCTTATCAAAATCTCCTAAGTCGTTTTCATAAGTTATATCAAGTTGTCTCACAAGTGATTATAGTAATAGATAAGTTCAATAAGTCAATATAAATATGACTCAAATTTATAACCAAAAAGTTATCGATGAAAACAGAAATACTATACTTTTTCAATGAAAAAAATAGGTGTAATTAAAAATCAAAACTCACTTGCAAGCCATGAGAATAAATGAATTGAAAAGAGTGGGAACACCATGGGTGAGAACATTCCTAGCAAGTAAGACCTCATTGGCAACAGGAACCATGGCACGAACAGGGTAAAGTTGGGAACGTTTCTCATTTCTCTTGAGAATCATGGGTTGGAGTTTGCTCAAGTCTACTTTTTCGTATAGAAGAAGATAGTTCCAGAACATATTTCTGAAAGACATTAAATGATCCTGCAACGAAAACAATAGAAAAAATTTGAGATGTGGCCAAAGGAGCATTTCATCGAACAGTTAGATGTCATTGTAAAAAATCGATGTAGGTGATGATTATTGAACTGTAAAAAACACAAGAGTGAACGAACACGGCACACAGCGCATGTGTAGCAGTGTAGTTTCTACTGGGCCGCCGGATTCCATAATTTGTTTCAGGAGAAAAACTTTTTGTTCATAACCCATAATAAAAATGTATTTGAGAGCGCGTACGAGTGCATTGTTTTTATGCATCGACCATGCCTCCATGTGCAAATCAACCTCTAATTTGTGTTTCTAATGGTGACATTGACTCTGTTTACTATATTCATCCAAGCGAAGGTCATAGTTCGGTGAAGCTAACACCTTCATTGAATGGCTCCAATTATTTGTCATGGTCACGTTTCATGCAACGGTCACTTAGGGCAAAGAACAAGTTGTCTTTCGTTGATGGATTCATTCAATTCCTAAAAATCTTGATATCAATCGAGCTGCGTGGGAAACATTGTAATTGCCTAGTTCATTCGTGGATTCTCAATTCAATTACTGAACATATATCTCAAACCATTTTCTTATTATAATTGCTTTAATCATTTGAGAAAATAAAGTTTATACAGAAATAGAAGTTAAACGAACAATAAGTTGCGTCGTTACTCTTTTTTTGATGACAAAATCAATCTTCTTAAAAACTAAATTCATATAGACTTAAGAGAGTTTCAGAATCTTAATATATACTTACCTATGATTTTCGTTGTTTTCAAAGAGAGTTTATTGTGTATTTGATGCGTCCAAATTTCAAAATTAAGATTCTAAAGGTATTTTTGGAATTTCGCCAAATTGTGAGTAAGACTTACGGTATAAAGAGTAATGCCCTATAATTATCCCCTGTTTCATATCACAATTGGGACAAATATTTTGTTTACTTGGGACTAATTAACTTAATGTGTAATGGGTTTTGCATGCCACAGTTAAGCTACGGGCTTCTCCGTTTGAGTTGACGTTAGGAACCAGAATCAACTATCTATAATTTTACAGGGAGGAAATCCATGTAAAAGCATATTTAAACCTATTTTCTCTTATAACTATACAGTCAATTACTAATCAAATTAGAACTTGCAGGTTCAAAGATATCCAAGAATGCATGTAAGCAAAATCACAATGACAGGGAGGAATGTTATGCGTGATGTTGAGCCCCATAGTAGGGAATAAATATATAAGGCATGTGTCAAATACTCATATCTTTTGTAATACTCACATCTTTTGTTTTGGTTCGAAAATACTCATATCTTTAACATGAGTTAAATCAATTTATATACATTTGCAATTATAATCTTATGAGCCTAACAAAGAGTTTGAGTCCTTGTAGAGTTTGTTGCTGCCTCATTGAACAAACTGTTTGTAGAAATTTTAAAACTCAAACTTTCAATTCTTGTTTCACTTTTTCCTATCCAAGAATATCAGGCTTCAACGCAATTCCATCATGAAAATTATTATTGCCACAAGAGTTAATCAATTTCTCATTGAAGTGGGTAACTTAGAAACAGTTATTGAAATCAAAAGGAAAATAGAAGAAACTCATGGTGTTCCGGTGGCTTACCAAATGCTAACAGTTTCTGGATGGGAACTCGTTGATGGATTAGACATGGAAGATTACCCAATAGTCACTGAAGGCACAAAAGTTGATCTCGCCATCAAGTCAGGGGTGTCACATTCCATTTACTATAATAAGAATATGCAAATCACAGTAAAGTTTCCAGCTAAAAAGACTAACATAGAGGTGGACCAGACAGATACTGTCCGTAGCTTGAAGGAAAAAATACACATCATTGCTAATATCCCCATCAAAAAAATGTCACTTTTCTTTTTGGGGAAGGAACTGAATGAAGATTTTCGAAACCTAAATGAGTATGGTATTTGTGAATTTTCTGAAATTATTGTGTTCCTCAAGACCACAAATCAGTCCAAAGAACCATCATCTAAGAAGGTGAGCTTTGTGGTACAAACTTCCTCTAGTTTGCTAAATGCAGCCACCATTCCAGTGGAGATGAGGGATATAAGCACTATTAATGACTTGAAGGAGTTGCTGATAGGTAGAAAAATTCTGCCGGTTGATGACTATTTGTTTATACACAGGCAGAGGATTATGCGTGATAGTTGTAGCCTTAGGTGGCATGGGGTTGAAAATGGCGACCATCTCTACGTATTCAAAGGGACGGCTAGTCGCAGTGGGTAAGACTGAAGTTATCATATTAATAATTATAGATTTATGCCATGGGTTGTTTTGTACATTGTTTGTCATGTTTAGAACGGAGAGCTGAACAGCATTCTACGTTAAATTTTGTTGTTTTATTCATAAACATGTTTAAATTTTAAATTTGTTTACTATCTCTACATGTTATACCAGCCGCTACTTAATCAAATGTATATGACTCTTCAAAATTTAATAGAATAAAAACAAAATATTATAGAAATTGTACTTGTAGGCCACTGCTTCTACCTTAACCTGATTGTATGTAAGTACCAAAAATACTTTGTGAAAAGCTAGAGATACATACCCCAAGGCCTAGCTATCAAATGCTAGACACATCTCTCCTATGTTAGCTCGCAGAATGACTCATTTCTGTTTAAGAATATCACCCTTATCCAATAAATCATTTGCTGTTCATTACCTCTACTAAATTCTCCCCTAGATAGGTAACAAATGAAGGCAGAGTGTTTTCTGTCATAAACTAACTGAAATAGCAAAGCACCTGGGCCTGGCTCTTACGAGTCCTAACGTACATTTGACGTGACTTATCAGACGTGTATTTTTATCATGATTTTCCTCATTGATTTTTCAATTGACGTTTGTAACTCTGCAGTTTTCCTCTAGAATGCAGAGTTACATTAATACTATAAAGGATTAAAATATGCAATCTAAAGGGTTGATATTCGATAGAAAATAAACTCTTTGGTCAACAAACTAGTCTTTCTATTTGTGTGATATCTATTGCAAGGAAAATGAAATTTCAGCAATACGACACCTTTTTTTTTTTGGCAGCGAAGAGTTTTTTACAAACATTTACAACAACGTAGTATCTCCCATGTTGATATTTCTATCAATTATTGGACTTAAGATTTCTCAAGGAACACAAATAATAAAGTAAAAATACCTGGAATCTTTGACTGCAGAAATAAAACATTAAATTATCTTTGTCAGATCTGAAGAACAGGTCCATTAAATCCAGCAATTCTAGTTTGCTCTGCGGAAATACTTTGGTTTTGGGAGATATGAAATATGGGCGGGAACCAATTGCTTTCTGTAACCAACAGATGATCAGGCACAAAGATCCATAATCAAATATCTTGGACAATCTCAAATTATGCAGGAAATTGCATATGAAAGTAATCTCAGATTTCTTCCCCAAATGATTGAGTGTTGGATTATAGTTCATTTTTTTGTTTGATCCTCTAATGCCCCGGTCAAATCTTAAAATTGACAGGATCAGACAAACCTTGTGCTTTCATCATAATATTTTACTTTGTAGTGGTTATGGCACCGGCTTTCGGGCATAAATCCAGTACAGATGGAACACTTCCATAGAAGTCTCTCCCTTCATTCACAAGTACAGGAGGATCATGAAGCCTTCATCTCCATACAATCTTTAGGGGCATTAAATTATCCACATTAGCTTTCGTCCAAAAATGATCTCCTTTCTAACTCTCGTACTTGAACCCTCCACAGAGCCTAGATTTATGGCCAGACGGCCCAACATGAACCTCTGAACAATATTTACAAACTTTTACCGGATGATCCAACAATTCTCTGTCCTAGGCCTGATAGTCTCCCAAGCTTCTAAAGTTTCCTTTGCTATTAAGGCATGATCTTTCAATGACAAAGACTATGTATCACCAACATTTCCATTAGTAGCCTCTAAGCTCCAACTACTCTAAGATGGCCGGAAAAAGGAGAGTTTGTTCTGTATGGAGGAAGGACATCCAAAATACCGAAAAAGGAACATGGGGTTTTGATCTAAATTAGATGTCTAGAAAACTCAAAATATTATCCCTGGATTACCTCTAAATGATAGATTTCCTAGTCTATTTAGGATTTCATAGTCTATTTAGGATTACAGTAGCAACTACTGAACTTTATTTATTTTAAAAGAAATGAGAAAATATCGAAAAAAAATTCACGAAAGAAAAGAAATGGTCATCACAACAAAATTAAAATTCGGGAATTGATTATACAATAGAAAGGTATTAGCATCTCTCACATCCATTGTACTCAACGGTACCCATTTAGTTAATTTGTGATCGAATATTAATGTGATGTTTACTTGCTATCTTCTAATTATTATGTGAGAAAAGAGAAAGAAAAAAAATATCTTTGGTTTTTTATCAATGGGTTCGACAAGATTTCAGAACTCTATACCTACGTATTCCCGAGTCCAATGAGAAAGTCATAGCTTAGGTAGTTCTTAGTTGAAATAACTTTGTTTGTTGGTTGATTTTATTTGTGAAAATGAGTCTAATTGCACTTGTGCGGAAAAGAGTAGTTAAAAATATTTGCACTTGGGCGAAAAAGAATATGTGCTTAGATGATAAAAGAGATTCGCACTTAGACAAAAAAAAAAAGATGATTTGATGAGTTTGAATTATTTTTAAGTTTGTGAAAAATATCATGAAATATTATTGATTAATTTCGAAAAGATTTGGCGTTGAGTAAGTGTTTGTTTTATTTGAATTTTTTGTGAAAAGGATTTATTTACGAAAATAGTGAATAATCGATGAATTATTTATTAAGTGAATGATTTTTTTAAAAGTACTCTCTGATTTTGATCAAGAATTTTTTAAAACTTTGATTTTATTGTCAAGTTTTTTAATTAATCAATTAAAATATATTTAATTAATTAATTAAACTAATTAAAAATTAACTAACATTATTAATTAATTAAATAAATTTAATTAATTAACTAAAATAGTCAAAGTTTAATTAATAATATTAATTAACTAAAACATTATTAACTAATTAAACTAAAAAAGAGAAACGAAAACATTAAAATTCTTTAAAAAAAGTGGTGTTTAAGTAAAATCAAGAAGGTGATGAATTAGTGAAAATTCATTGGGCTTAAGGGTATGAGGCCCACTTACTAATATGAGGTGCATGGATATGAGAGGAGAAATGGCGGTGTGGTACTAAGGAATCGGGTTGGAAATGAAGCGTAAAACAATAAGATATGGCAACATGAATCGCAACAAACAATCAAAAAACACGTAAAAGCTTTGAATGCCCAGATACCCTGCTTCTCTTTCTGCGTTTTTCACTCTTTGTCTTTGTCTTCTTGCTTATTTTGTTGCATGTCGAGCTTGTGTGTATGTTGTTGTGTTTGGTTCTGCAGGTTTGAGGGAGGATGACGAGGTGAATGTTGTTGAGTTGAAGGTGAGGTCTGAGTGTGAAGGTTATGTGGTTAAGGTGTGAGTGTATGGCATTGTAGCGTGTGAGGCTGAGGGGAATTCAGTTGGGAGGTTTTGGGAGAAAATTTAATTAACAGAGGTTTTGTGGAATTTTTGTTGGTGTCAATGAGAGTGTGAGGAGGTTTTTACTTATATGTGAATGAGGGTGAGTTTTGGAGGGAATTGAGGAAAGAATTGGTAAGGTTTTGGAGGGAAGATTGTAGCAATATGTGTGAGCTTGTGTTGAATGTTTGCAACCTTCTATTAGGATTGAGTGTGAGGTTGAGATTTATTTTTTGTTTGAGATGAAAATGCTTTGAATCGATTTTCTGGAGTGATGAAACGCATGGGTTGGGTATGCATATGTATGTATTTCTGGATTTGTCTGTTGCAAGATGGTATGTGTGTGGTATTATGTATGGGGGCTTCTATGGTGACCTCTGTCAATTGACTTCTTTGAAAAAGTCACTTTAATTAACCAATTAGAAAATACTAGTAAGTCCTAAAATGTCACATCATCGTTACCATGCATCTAGTCTATCATAAGTCTTTTTTTAACTTTCATTTATTGCAAACCAGCCCTTCGTCAATATAATAATAATTTATTAATTAAAAAATATTTAACTAAAAAAAACCATTTTTTACGTGTTTTTGTTTTTCAAATGAAAATTTTCATCTTTTTCTTCCTTGACCTTCTTGTTCCTTCTCACATATCTCATCCATCGTCATTGATCAATTCCCTCGTCGAATGGTTCAAAGTTATTCCCTCCTTTCACAGGTAGTTGTTTATATCTAAATCTTATATTATTCCCAAAATTAAGTTAATTTGAGTTATGTGATACGGTGGGAGAACTAACTATGGTTTTGCGTTTGTTTTCGCAAATGTTTCGGTTGAGCAAGAGTCGCCACCGACTTTTTATTTTATCCTAAGGAAAGGTTTAAAAAGCACAGCAAAAACCTTTGAGATATTTTCTTGGGTTCGGGGAGTAGATTATAGAAAGGGAAGGTATTAGCACCCTTTCTATCCATGGTTATCCATGGGCTCTTAGGTACTCGCTTAGATCAACTTGCCTTGGTTTTCAATTGTTTGAAATGGTGCTTTGTGTGTGGTTTTGAAAATGTTTTGAAAAAGATGCCTTGTCCAGGCTACCCTTGTAACAATTCTTTACTCGAATGTTTTACAAAAGGTGTTTGTCTTTTTGAAAAGATGTTTCAAGGTTTTTTTGAAAGTTTGTTTTGAAAGTGTGATTTGAAAAATAGGCAAGTGTTTTTGTTTTGCAAGTTGACAAGGATTTAAGAGCTATCTACCCTAGAGTTCTCAAAGATTATTGTTATGTTTTAACCCTTTTAACAATTTTGTTCCACCATTGTATTTGGTGGACAATCTTGTGTTAGGATGTGAACGGGACGGGCGCGGGTCATCGTTTAAACCATAATTGCAATGATGCCAAGTATCTTTGGGCAATTTTCCTTTAAGGGACTTGATCATTTTTAGGCAACTTTCGAAAGCGTCATCGAGGGACTATGATCATTTGATTGTGTTTATTTTGCCCAAAGAGACCTAACAGGCAATATGGCCCATTATTGAAGGCAACAAGTGGAATACCCTAGGGGTGCAAGTGTGATGAGTGTTGTCCATTTTCATGCTTGATTATCTTGAAATTAGGTCAAACTATTTTTGTTATTTTTGATTCGCATACAAACCCTAATTCTAACATGGCATAATTAGAAAGCATAAAAATGCGAAAAATAAAGTTCCTAAGCTATTACAACACAATATGGGAAGGGGGGTACAAATGTTCAAATGGGGGGTATTTTGACAAGGAATTTAAACCTAGACTATTACATCAATATTGAATTATTTACAAGATATTTAATTGCACAAATTAAATAAGATAAATAAAATAAATATGCAAGATGCAAAAAATGTTTTTATGTGTATGAAAAAAAGTATTTTTATATGTCAAAATAAAATAAAATGAAAAGTGTTATTTTTTGAGTATTTTCCATGTTTAGGGCAAAACCCTAATTTATTAAGTAAATATATTAATTATTTAATATGTACAAATATTTAATAATTATGTACAAAAACAAAATAAAAATGAAGTATATTTATAAAAAGGTATTTTAAATGTCAAATATTAATAAAATAAAAAATGTATATATTTTTGTATTTTTGCCTTAAATATTCTAATAAATATGTATGTATTTGTATTATTTACTAAATATATATTATATGTGCCAAAATAATAATATTTAATATTTATAAAAAAGGTATATTTCATATAAAATATTTTCAGAAGGTAAAATAAAATAAAAATGGAAAATAAAATGTGTTGGCATTATTTTTGTATTTTTCAAATAAAAGTATGTTTATATATTTATTTATGTACAAATATTAATCTAAGCAAATAAATACCTAATAAATATGAAAATGGTGTAAAAAATATTTTTTATGTTTTTAATATTATAAGAAAAAATAAATAAGTCAGAACAAAAAAGAAAAAGTTAAAAAGTCATAAAAATAAGCAAAATGGGCCTAGGGGGTGAAAAAGCAAAAGCATGGTGTAAAAAGAAAGTCAACTCAGGCCCAGCCCAAGAAGACTTCATCTTCAACCTCAGAACAATGTTTGAACACAATCCACGCGCGTTTTTCATCTCTCAATTCCTGGACTTTCAAGCAAAACTCACAACATGAAAAATGTAGAGCATTAAGAGACGAATTCAGGGATATAAAGAACTTGACTTAACTCTCTAAGATGAGAGAGAATTTCTTCTCCCCCAATTCCTGACCTAGTTTTTGTTCCATGTTCAGACTCAAAATTCTCTAAGCATACATAATATAAATGAAATCTAATTACATGGGCATGTTCAGGGCTATGAATGTGACATGTTTTCTTCACAAACCTAAAGCTAACAATGCCTGGATAGAGAGATTCGTGTTCATGAACTTACCTGTTCAGTTGAAGTTGTATCTGGTGATTGAGGTGTCTTCAAT